TGGTAGCCCAGGCTGGCCTCGAACTCACAGAGATCCGCCTGGCTCTGCCTCCCGAGTGCTGGGATTAAAGGCGTGCGCCACCAACGCCCGGCTCCTTTTTGAACTTTCTTGATAGGACGTATTGTTTGGATTTATAATAAGGAGGAAAAAGCAAAAAATTATCGTATTTTGGTTTTTAACCTTTTTATAACTATTTACATTTTATACATTCAGAAATCATCGCTGGAAATTTTATTAAATTCCTTGGAACTCTTTTTAAATTAATAATGTTTCTTTAAGAAAAATTTAAACAAGCTTTATGCCAAATATCTGTTTTTCTACATGTATTTCAGCAAACCATGAAACTGTTTAGTATTTAGTTAGTGTTAGATCACGGGCCTACCCTTCTAGGACTCCATCTCTCTAAGAAGCCATGTCCTACAGTCTGAAGAAATCAGGCCATCCCTCATTGCAGCTTTCTCTCCAAGAGTGTCCATATAGACCCAATCAATAACTAGGGCTTCTGTTTACTTCCAAGTCTGGTTGTGATTGTTGTTGACTGTCTACCTGCTAGCAACAGAGACTAACCCTGAGCTTATGATGTGATATTTCTCAAGGAGACCAATCAGCCACTTAGTAGCCACTGACTATATTGGAACACTTACATCCTGAAAGGACCAGGATATTCCTTGTTCTAACAGTAATAAATATGAATTCCAGGTGCATGTTTACTTTTCTGAGTGGCACTAAGTCTGTTCCTCTTTCCCAGTGGCTTACAGAGTCTAATCTACCAACATAGGAGCCTATGTATAAAACATTGAGTAGATATGATCACACGACTCATCTTAATAATACAAATGCTAGGATGGGCCTGTGAACATGACATTCATTGATAGATGATATACTGTAGCATGAAGAAGCTGTTCTAAAGACAGAGAATTGAGAGGGTTATGAGCTTCAGTAGGATGCCAAGAGGCATTTATAATGAATATCAGAAGGAGGAAAAGTAAGCATCAGTTATAGGCTATGGTGGCAGGAACTGTAGTTTGTCCAACTGCTTTCCTCTTTAAAGTTTTGTCCAGACACAGAAGCCCAAGGAAACACTAGACAGGATATCTAATAGAATAAATAGGAAGCATATCTGAGTCCTACAAGGGGGAAGACTGTGAAAATGACAGAGATGTGCTACCCAGGTCCTCTTGAAAGGACAGGCATCTTGCCCCAGCTGTCAGAGCATCAGCGCCTGCATTTTCTACTGAATGCTGCTTGTACTCATGGTCCACTCTTCCCAGAACAGCCTGAATGCAGTTAGTCATGAAAGCCACATCACAGGGACCTTGCTGATCCAGGTACATGGACTGTGATGCTATGTTAGGCACAGACTTACTGATGCTCTGTTGGACCCAAGTCTAGCCTCTTCCTCTGCTTGTCCTGCTGTTCCCACTTCCTTTCATAGTTTGATACTAAAATACCCTAAATACTAATCTCTATTCCAGCCATCTGCTTCAGAAAACCCCATGAGGACAAAAAGTCTTCCCTAAAACTGGTAGGGAAAGGCTGTACAAGATTAGAGAGAGTGAATCTCATCTTTCTTACTCACCAGTTCTTTAAAGATAACAAATGCTTTTAGAATTATTGGCTCAATATTTCCTACCTGAAATGCTCCAACTCAACTTCTTTCTAATCAAATGTATGGCCATTAGCTTGGCACAAGTATGTTAAAGCGAAGAGAAAGAAAGAGATGAAGGAAGACAACAATAAACAGTTTCACGTGAGGTTTTACTCATGTGATGAGTACTGGCTGGAAATTATAAGAACTCTGTGGCAGTATATGGTGCCAAGTAGACAGTGTATGGCTTAGGACCCCTTAGGAGGTGTGAGGAAAAATCAGGTAGAGATTATGATGCAATGTCACAAGGCAGCTCACAAATCATTTCCAAATGAGGTAGTGTGGAATTACATGCTTTACATGCTTTAGAGGCCGGTGGCCACACAGAAGAGTCAGGACTCATCATACTAACAAAATACAAAAACAACAACAGAAACAAACAAACAAACACAAAACCCAAGCAACACACACACGCACGCACGCACGCACGCACGCACGCACGCACATGTGCACACTCGCGCGTGCGCCCAAACAAACAAAAACAAGAAAGTGGAACTTTTAGCTGAAGAAGGGATCTGAAAAGAGTCATGTGCTCCCGTATAAATATAACTGTTTCTGTGCAAGATCAAAATGCTCAAAAAATATTTATATAGTTTCCACTGTTAGGGATGGGTTTGTAACTCAGTGGTTCTACATGCATGAGGCCCTGAATTCAATATCCACCATGACAATATATATGAAATCCTTATATTCCTGAGGGTTCAGTGTCCTGTTCTAAATTTGGAAAATGCTATGAACTAAATCACACCCTACACCTATCCCTGAAAAATCCATATATTGAAAAACTGACCTCCAAAAATCAGTATATTTGGAGACAGGGCTTTTATAGGGTAATTAAGGCCCAGTGAAGTAATAAAGGCAGGGTCCAAATTGGATAAACCTGGTTTTATGGGTGGGGGAAAAAGGGAAGGAGGGAGGGGAAGGAAAAAGAAAGGAAGAGAGTCTGGGAGGAGGAGGATTGGGGAAGGAGGAGGGTGAAGGAAGAGAGGGAGGGAGAGGGAGAGGGAGAGGGAGGGGAGCAGACCAGCTTCCTCTCTCTGGCTAGGCAAGCAGTGTAGGACAAGGCAGGTAGATACTGATAGAGTGGGGTTGAGAGCAGGGTGGGAAACCCCGGACAACTGATTGGCCCTTAGCATCTTAGTCTCGAATTACCCGGGCTCCAAAACTATGAGAAAATAAACATATGCTGCTAAAGCCACTCAGTCCTCAATTGATAGTGTTTTAGTATGGCAGTCTCAGCTGCAACAGAAACTATTCCGACAGGAGAGATAGCTTCTTTCTAGTCCGAGTTTATATTCTTCTAGAAACACAAAACACTGGCAAGACCCATGTCAGGAAGGGAACTGTGCCAAGCACTGTGTAGTCTGCGAGGAGGAGAGGAGGCAGATAAAACACACACAGAGTGCCCAGTGTATTTCAGTATCGATGTCGAAAGTCTATTTGATTATAAGGTATTTATAGTCTTATTTGGTACAGAGCAAGCACATAGGATGAAACACATGAGGATGAGAGACGTGAGGAAAGAGAAGTTTTCTTCGAGCTACAACAAAGACCTTACCCAGAATGCCCAGGTGTTCGGGAGTAAGGGTGATGCAGGATGAAGACTTGCAATAGGATCTTTTGTTTTAAATAAGATGGTGCAATCAAAATAAACAGAAGCCGGAACTCCTAAATGCAGAGCCACAGTGACATAGAAACAGAACGGTTCATGTTCAGAAATGTCAGTTTTCTATAAATACAGAGGTTCAGTCATTACCAGCAGAATTATTCATTATACTATGATTCAAAACAAGATGAATATCCTGGGCCAACATGAAGACTCCAATCCCTGAAGAGCCCTTTAATGTATTTTTCAGAAATGACTTTGTCTGTGTAAAAATAGGAGTTATCTGAGCATGACACAATCACTAGACACTTTGGGGGCATTTCACTGACGGCACAAGATCTTAATTTTTTAAAAACTATTTTCAGCCTAAAATTTGTGAATGTGAGTATTAATATGAGTGTTGCCATTTTAATTGCCTGTGGTTTTCTCCTTCTGTACATACTTTTGTTCAAGTCTCTGCTTTTCTGTATCAGATCCATTCTTCAAGTCCAGATACTGCCTGCCCTTTCAGTGATTATCCCGGTTATGTTCTCAGGAGTGTCTAGAGCACTCTGTGTTTGTGTGTGTGTGTGTGTGTGTGTGTGTGTGTGTGTGTGTGTGTGTGTGTGTGTGAGAGAGAGAGAGAGAGAGAGAGAGAGAGAGAGAGAG